CTGAGGAAGCTGCAAGGGTGGCCGAGACTCCGATCCCGATGGCTTCAGGTGGTCCCGCCTCTTGATTGAATCCCGTGCAATCCTACAAATCAACTCACTTGTTGCTGCTGCCCTGCAAAACATTTTGCTGATTTCTTCAACCTGAGGAACCTGCAAGGATGGCCGAGAGTCAGATGCCCATGGCTTCACCTGGTCCCGCCTCTTGATTGAATCCCGTGCAATCCTAGAAATCAACTCACTTGTTGCTGCTGCCTCAGGAATCTACGGCGGCCTCTCCATGCCTTCCGGGGGCAACACCGAAAGCAGTGCCAGCCTCTTGACTGAACCCCATTCCCAAAAAAAAATTGGTAAACCTCAAATCCTAATTACTAACACTCGCTTCCGGCCGTCCTCAGGCTGTTCCTGTGACGAACCCTCCAGCAGTTGTGCCGGAGGGTGCAATGGCGTCTTGACTGAACCCAGCCCTTTATAACCCCACCCTAAATTATCGCTCGAGTGCTGCCATCAGGAAGATCCGGTGCATCCACTTCCGGTGCATCCACTTCCAGCTCCTCTGCCTGAAGCTCCCAAGGCCAGCTGGAGGGTTGTACAGTGTCTGCCCGTGTGAAGACATGTTGTGGTGGCAGCAGCAGGAGGTGCCAGACGGCGTCCCCACGATGGTGCCGTCCGTCACCCGAGATGCTGCTTGGATGGCAATTTTGGCACACTCCTGCATTGGCAGTCTTTTGGAATGTGGGTTCACGAGCCCATTTAAGGTTCACGTCATTTACGGGTGGCACAGCTGCGCCTACCTCCTCCAGGGGGAGGAGAAGACGTACTGGTATCACGAGAGGGGGCAGGTGACAAGCCCGACGACGCCCGTCTTGTGGGATGATGTGCCTGTTCCGCATTGCTTCTCAGGTGACTGAGTCCGTGTGAGAGAGATAGACACAGAGAGAGAGAGAGAGAGGGAGACCTCTGTTTGAGGTCGAACCGCCGCCTGATCTTCAAGCTCAAATGGAGCTGGACCAGGGGCAGCGGCGGCTTTGGCACGTCTACAAGACCCAGTACGATAAGAGCCTGGCCTTCTGGTTCGACATGCAGACTGGGTTGCGGCTCTCCTACAGCAGCCTCGCGCCTCAGCTTGAAGTATTAAGTGAGTCATGTTATGTGTATGAAGTGTGCGTCTACACTCAACAAACACCCCAGGAAGAGGCCTTCGAGAGGAAGAAGCTGGAGTTGAGCCAGAAGGCGAGGCAGGAGGCGGCGAAGAAGCGGAGGAGGAATTAAAAAAAAAACGAAAGTGCGGACTACATTGGCCTGTTGCCAGCTTTGGTGGTTCATTCATGATCATTTGTGAAACCTTGTCCCATCAGGACCTGCAGCTTCATCATTCTTGGTGGTCGCGTGCTGTCCCAAGCAGAGGGTTCAGGGGTTCGGATTTCGGTGGCTTGAAGGCAGTTGCAGTGTCGGCTTACAGAGTGTCTAGCATCTGTTGTTGTGCAAGCCTGCCAGAACAAACATCCCAGAAATCCCAAGGTCCGTCCTTCGGCTGCTGCGGGTGCTGCTGGCTGCCGAGCCGGCACGGTGCCAGGGCTCAGAGGGTTCAGGGGTTGCGATTTCGGCGGCTTCAAGGCACTTGAAGTGCAGCTTTGCAGAGTGTCTAGCATCTCTTGTTGTGCAAGCATGCCAGAACAAGCTTTTCAAGAAATCCGAAGGTCCGTCCTTCGCCTGCTGCGGGTGCTGCTGGCTGCTGAGCTCGCCAGGTGCCAGGGGTTGTCTCTTGCTGGTGCCTTGAGACGGACTGTGGCATGTCATTCCTGCTTTGCCTTGGGCCCAAGATTCGTGCATGGCTAGGACGGTTAGGAATGACAATCTAGCTCCCGAACAACCGTGGCAACCCACGGCTAGAAGTCGGTCTAGATCTCGCCTGAAGCCGACAATCCAGCACGTCGGCCAAGACATGTGGCCAACGGCAAACATCTAGGATGTCGAAGCCGCCGGTGAAGGCGCCACCGCCTGAGCTCCGTGCAATGGTGGCAGCAGCTGATGGTGAGTCTTCTGATTCTGGCACTGGCGAAGAGACACCTCGCGATCCTGAGAGGACGACAGATGACGACAGTGCAGGGCCAGCAGAGGGGTGCAGAGGTGTCGTCATCGTCATGTTCCTCTCTCAAAATCGCCTGTTCAGGACTGCTCCATGTCCGTCGACTTCGTCAGCTGCTGCAGCTCCGTGTCCAAGTCCGCCGAGTTCGTCAGCCGCTGCAGCACCGATTCCTGCCCCACCGAGTTCGTCAGCAAGTGCAGCACCGATTCCTGCCCCAGCGAGTTCGTCAGCTGCTGCAGCACCGAAAGCCCCAGCGAGTTCGTCAGCTGATGCAGAGCCACGTCCGTCACCTCAGGTGGTCATCCCTGCAGGACCACTCTCATTCTTCTCAGCCGCCGAGAGATTGCATCTAAATTGGATTTGGTGCTCATTCAGGACTGGCCTGGACGGAGACCCGGCTCATGCTGGGGGGTGCAGCCGCCGAGAGACTGCATCGAAATTGCATTTAGTTCTCCTGCAAGCTGCACTCGCAAGATACTGGGAAAACCAGTTCGTTCGGCTTGT